TCAATCAGAGAAGAGGGAAACACACTTCCTACTCTTTGTGGGATATACCAGAGGTGCCATTTTTGGCTCCATCCCGTAAATTCCCATATCTCTTCAATGAAGAGGCCTCTGCTTAGCAAGCCTGAGGGGTCCTGCATTCACGACCCAAAGCAAAATGGGAAGATGGCTGTGGAGGATCAACTCAGGCCCTGAGAGGGCCTCCATTTACATAAAGACTGTCAGTTGCCATCTGTGGCTTCTCGAATTGTGTGCAGCACCCACTGTGTGTGCAGCACCCACGGAAGAGAATAGTTTCTGCTACAAGAATGCCTTGGGGAATTTATGTCCACCACGGGAGGTTTGGAGACTCTTGGATGCACAATGGGAGGCTGCTAAAGCCTCTATGATAAAGGAGTGTGGGGAGGGGGACACTAATGGTACTAAGTATTATGTCAAAAATTCTAAAGCCTTTTGTTTCCCAATTCAATGTAAAAGTCCATTTCTAAGTGTTATGTGAATAAGTAACCAAGCAGATCTGACAAATTTAAGATCTACATATATATCTATATCACTGTGGCTGACAGAATGTGCCCCCGACGTGGTTTCTACCACTGCTTCTGTCCCCCTCTCAGCTCACAGCCCCCTCCTGTTGCCTCAGAGATATTTTGCAGAGTGGGACATGTGTGGATTTCTAAAGATGTTTCCAAGTAAGCAGACACAGAGTAGGCTTGAGCTGGGAAATAAACAGCTGGAAACGGTCAATGGATGGCAATGAAAAGAAATGATGTTGATGCAAATGAATGGGATGTCCCCAGCAGATCCCACTTGGGATACAATTTTATGTTTTAGAACCACCACATTTCAAAAGATTTGTCCAAAGAAGCTGATTTGAACTCAAAGACAGATCCTGGGAGCCCTCTCACCAAGCTCCTAGTATGTGGATGAGATGAGGGCAGGTTCAGCTCTAGCATGTTTTTTTCAATTAAGACAGGGTTGCAAGAGAGGCCTGTGGAGGACTGAGTCCTTCTTCCCCAGTCCTCCAGTTCTTCCTAAGAAGGAGCCCTCAGTGCTGGAAAGAAGAGCTGAGCACATAAAAATCAAGGTTCAGGAGAGCTCAACATTCTCCTAGCATAGGAAAGCAACTGTGTTATGTGTTTTCTAATTATTACTCACACACGCACACATATATCATAATATATATTTTTAGTGTACTCGTGAGTTTTCACAAATGGATAGTAATACTGCATTCAAAAGATGGAAATTATATCATTACCCCAAAAGAACAACTTGTGGTGCCCATTTGAACAGGACCCCTCCAATACATAAGTTGACACTAAAAAAGTGGAAAAGATTGAACTTCCCTTGCTCTTTTAAACCTCAAAATTGTTAATGTTTCTCACTTTTCCACAACATGAGCTGGAAATCTAAGCATATGGAAGTGAAATGTGTGAACAGCAATATGGACGATGGGGCTTTGTGAATCACGGAAAAAGACTTCCAGCCACTCCTCTGATGAAAACATGTTGAAAATTTCCCATTTTTCCTTTTATACTCAATTAGGCTACTACTCAAAATGATACCCTCTCTCTGCAGCTCACTTCATTTATTCCTTGGATGATTGCCTCTAACCACTCATAGCTCTTTTTGCTGTTTCCACTGGGAGATCACAGTGCACTCACATAGATATCACTCTACTCATAGCATACACTCAGGATGAGCTAGAACAGTGCAGATGAATGCACTTGTTTCTCTAAACAGGAGGAACCCCATGGTTTAGTGAGGTGTATATTGCACATTCAGTCTGTAGAGCAGCAAAATGAAAATGCCAGATACTATAACGTTTTAAATATTTAAAGGTAAATGAAAATCCTCTCCTAGAATATTAAAAAAAGACACCAATATATGTGGCCTAAATCCATAGGAAGTCTCCAGTCCCAGATAACAATAATGATATCCTCACTCACTCCTACCCTCATAGAAAAGATGCATACACACCCCAGCCTCCCTATTAGCTCATATTGTTTTTTACTTTCCTTCAAAGCCCTTAGAAAATAAAGCTTTACCATTTCTAAATCCTCTCTCTTCTCCCACAAACATATAAGCATCAGGATGGCATGAACTCGTGTGTTTCATGCTGCTATATCCAAATCCTACCTTGCCTTATTTCTGCTAAATTGAATACATTGACTCTATAGTGCATGGCATGTGAGGGATGCTGAAACATTAGCATCAAGAGCATAGTCTCTGAGAAAGGCTTGATTGGCAGAGTGGTCCTGTCTCTCTCCCTTGCTCCATTTGTATTGTCTCACAATTTACCTAAACTCAAAGGCCTCAGTTGAGTCATAGAGAAAATATTAAAAACATTATGTAGTATACTAAGTGAATTTATATATTTTAACTGAGGTACTTTATGGTAAACAGTGTCTAATACACCATAGGAAATACATCAGTCTCTTGACAATAAGTAGGAAAGACAAAAGCTGTCCCAGAGGACGAGGAGGTGGCCTGCATTCACTGCAAGGGCAAGTCTCATCCAGGTGATGAGAAAAATGTCACTCACCTCCCTCATCAAAGGTACATGATCATCAAGATAAAACCAAGGGTATTTTGTAACCATATCACTAAAAATGATAAAAGATAAAATTCCAGATCATAAATCATAAAAGTGAGTAATATTCCCTTCTTCTTACTAAAATGACTGACTGGAACTTCTTACAAATTAATTTTAGCTCCACTGCATTGTTTTTGCCTTCTAAAAAACAATGATTAGGTTTACCAAAGATAAAATGTTTACCAAAGATAGAATTAAGTTTACCTCCTCACATTCAATACAGAAAATGAACTGCTTCCTTGTATACCAATCAAATCCACAACCACATGCCAAAATCTTGTAAGAAGTCCTTCTGAGCACCCTGTCACTGTTACACCTCACAGTCCTTTATGGTCTGTGGTCAATCTTACTAGAATTCATTACACCCCTCTCTTTGACTAGAGGTGCAATCCTGCAGGTCACTGGCAAGTAGGCACTGAAAAAACCATGAGTTTTAAGTTTTGGATTAAGAACAAATGAGAACTTACATTCATGACAGAGATTGTAACTATAAAAGAATGAAAAATACAGTTTGCCTGAGGAAAAAATACCTGAAATTGTATGCACATGATAAAATTGACTCATAATGTATAATGATTAAGTGCAGAAAATTATGAAGTACATCTGAAAGTCAATAATAAATATGGATTTTAATATATTCTCTGAGCAAATGAAAACCACAATAATAGTTATTAACATGCCTTGACTTAGAAAACAGCTGGTAAAATATATCAATGAAACAACTAGCGAATTGTTCATTTCACCAAGAAATGCACACACTTTTAATGACATACAATCAAAAATTATTGCAAACACATTGAGGGAATATGTTCAGCTACAAGTTACAGGAAGCACAGTCTTCCTGACCTGAGAAAGGGGACTGTTCTCACGTGGAAGAACTGGGTCAAGGCAGCCACTGCACAATGCAGCAGAGAAACAAACTCCCAGGTCTTTCTTTTTATGCCCCATTGTAGATGTCATGGTGAATCAGGAAAACATGCTCACTAGCATTAAGAGCATAAGGTGTTTCCCATACACATTAAACCTTATACAGCTATCATCTAGAGAAAAGGGGAATCAGAGAATACTCCCAACCACAAAAGTCTTAGTTTCCTGGTGGACACAAGAGGCCTTATAGAAAAATCCTAACTCGAATGGATCTTTGATGTGAAACTTGTGAAAACATCAGTGGAAAATATACCTCTATGAAAATGGAATCCAAAGAGTTTGTGGTGGTTTTCAAGATACTCTTGACAGAAGGGCAAAGAATCCAGAAAATGGGCTGTAAGATGGTGTCCTCAAAGCTCCTATGTAACTGCCTCTCTCCCTGTATGGTAGCTCCAAAATCTACCTAATGCCTTGTTTGCTTCTACCTTCCAAATCTCATGCAAGTGAGGCTATTGGTGAATTCCAACATGGAACCAGAGAGAAGATGGATTCTGAGCTAAATCTGTTGCCAATCCTCCTCTTTTTGCTGAGGAAGACTGGCCCTGGGCTAACATCTGTGCCCATCTTCCTCCACTTTATATGGGAAGCCACAGCATGGCTTGACAAGTGGTGCATCGGTGTGCGCCCAGGATCTGAACCTGGGCCACTGCAGCAGAGTGTGTACACTTGACCGCTATGCCACCAGGCCAGCCCTTGAAGATCAAGTTCTTAATATTACCCTCACAGACATAACACAATACAGGGTGATATGTCCAGCTCTAGATTTTGTTGCCCTATCACAGGCCTCTACTGAATTCAATGTCTATTCACCAGATACCAATCAGAAGGAAGGACAAAGAGCAAAGGCCCAAATATGAAAATAGAAACTCACAAGAAACTATACTCTTTGATAAACTTCCCATACATAAAAATTTATTCCAACTGTTTAATAGTATGAAAAATAAAAACAGGCTCCCGTACCAATCACCCCAAAAAAGCTTTCTCTAAGAAACGAACAATACACAATGGATTAGGCATATCCAGGAACTGCAATATAAAGCCAGTAAGAAAATCTCAACAAATACAAACAGTCATTTTTCAATGGCCCCTTAACACAGAACAATGAAAACATTTTTATAAAAAGAATTAGAGAAAATATTATTAACTGATTTAAGGAAAAAGCACTACCTTATAATCTTATGTACAATTGATGAAGGATGACTTGCAGAATTATCTCACCTCAATATTCATTTCTCAAAGTTATTAATAGAAATCCACAAGCCAATGTTGTACTTTAAGGAAAAGGCTTGGTAAACACAATATATTTATAAGTTTTACAACTCTTTCATGTTGACAGTTTTCTAGATCATACACAAGTAAATTTCCATCAACGTTCTCATATGACTTATATTTCTTTTTGGTGGGAGTTTCACACAGAAGGATGTAGGCCAATTGAAGTCCTTCCCACACTATTTACATTCAAGAGGTTTTTATCAAGGCCTTTCATGCCTTCAGAGAGAACTGGGCTGACAAAAGGCTTTCCCCACATTCATTATATTTATATGGTTTTTCCTCTAGTGTGCAGTCTCCCATGTCCTCAAAAGTTTGCATGAGAAATAAAGGCTTTCCCACTTTCCTGTCATTCACAGGGTTTCTCTCCAACAGGTTCTTTCATGTCTTCAAAAAAACTGGAAAAACTAAATGCTTTACTACATTTTTCACATTCATACAGTTTTTCTCCAGTATGATTTCTGTATTTGGAAACTTTGATGAGAACTGAAGGCTTTTCCACATTCTTTACATTCATAGGGTTTCTCCCCAGTGTGACTTCTTTCATGTCTTTGAAGCAATCTGAGATAAATGAATGGTTTCTCACATTCCTTACATTTATAAGGTCTATCTTCCATGAAAATCATCATGTGTGATCAAAGGTTTGAGGAATCCATAAAGGCTTTCCCACATTCCTTACATTCATAGTGTTTCTCTCATGTATGAACTCTTTCATGTACTCGAAGAGAACTAGAAGTAGTGAATGCTTTAGTGCATTTTTTACATTCATAGGGTTTCTCTCCAGTATGAAATCTTTCATGTACTCGAAAAGACCTGGTACAACTGAATGCTTTACTGCATTCTTTACATTCATAGGGTTTCTCTCCCGTATGAGTTCTTTCATGTACTTGAAGAGAAGTGGAAGAAGTGAATGCTTTCTTGCATTCTTTACATGCATAGGGTTTCTCTCCAGTGTGGCTCCTTTCATGTACTCGAACGGCACTGGGAGAAATAAATGCTTTCTCACATTCCGTACATTTATAAGGTCCATCTCCAGTGTGAGTGATCATGTGTGCTCGAAGGCTAAAGGGAGTTACAAAGGCTTTCCCACATTCCTTACATCCATAGGGTTTCTCTCCAGTGTGACTTCTTTCATGTTTTCGAAGAGAACTGGGATAACAGAATGCTTTACTGCATTTTTGACATTCATAGGGTTTCTCTCTAGCATGATTTCTTTCATGTCTTCGAAGAGAACTGGAAGAAGTCAGTGCTTTATTGCACTTTTTACACTCATAGAATTTCTCTCTACTGTGATTTCTTTCATGTATTTGGAAAACTTGAAGAGAAATAAAAGACTCACCACATTCCTTACATACAAAGGGTGTCCGTCCTGTGTGAGTTCTTTTGTGGTTTTTTAAGTTAGCATAGGAACTGAAGGCTTTCCCACATTCCTTACATTCATAGGGTTTCTCTCCAGTGTGAATCCTTTCATGTACTCGAACAGCACTGGGAGCAATAAAGGCTTTCCCACATTCCTTACATTTATAAGGTCCATCTCCAGTGTGCGTGATCATGTGTACTCGAAGGCTTGTGAGAGCAATAAAGGCTTTGCCACAGTCCTTACATTCATAGGGTTTCTCTCCAGTGTGACTCCTTTCATGTATTCGGAATGAACTGGGAGCAATAAAGGCTTTCCCACATTCCTTACACTTATAAGGTCCATCTCCAGTGTGAGTGATCATGTGTACTCGAAGGTTTTTGAGAGCAATAAAGGCTTTCCCACAGTCCTTACATTTATAAGGTCTCTTTCCAGTGTGACGTCTTTCATGTATTCGAAAAGTTCTGGGATCACTGAATGCTTTACCACAATTTTTACAATCATATGGTTTCTCTCCAGTGTGACTCCTTTCATGTACTCGAAAGGCACTGGGAGAAATAAATGCTTTCTCACATTCCTTACATTTATAAGGTCCATCTCCAGTGTGACAGATCATGTGTGATCGAAGACTTGAGGGGTCTGTAAAGGCTTTCCCACATTCCTTACATTCATAGGGTTTCTCTCCTGTATGAATTCTTTCATGCTTTCGAAGAGAACTGCAAGTAGTGAATGCTTTATTGCATTTTTTACATTCATAGGGTTTCTCCCCAGTATGAGTTCTTTCATGTATTTGAAGAGACCTGGAAGAACTGAGTGGTTTACCACATTTTTTACATTCAAAGGGTTTCTCTCCAGTGTGAGTTCTTTCATGTCTTTGAAGAAAACTGGGAAAACGGAAGGCTTTCCCACATTCCTTACATTTATATGGCTTCTCTCCATATTTTTGATAGTCATATGATTTGTGTTCAGTGTGACATCTAACGTGCCTATTAAGTGATAAATGATGCTTGAAGACTTTTCCACATAAACTGCACTTACATGGTTTTGCAGTAGTTTTCTTGTTCAGATTGAGATTTGGAATGTGGATGACGTTTTCTCCACATTGACTACCCTCTTCACTTTCACAGAGTCTCTCTACCATACGACTTCTGTAGAAAATGAGAAGCACATTATTAATTATTTCTTTATAACAATTTTATATTTGTTATATTTATTGTGATTTATAGGAAAAGTTTGGCTTTTCTGCCTTGTCTAAATTCTCAGAAATTGAACATACTGAATATTCTGCAAATGTACATCACCCTGCTATTATCCAAACAGTGATATTCATATAGGGTTTATTAATACTGTTTCCAAATCAAGTCTTTTGCAAAAGCTGAACCTCTACATCACATTTCAGAACGCATATTTGGTGAAAATTTTCTAAGGATAGCTAAGTTTGAAAAAAGTGTTATTTGTTTTGTTTGCTTCTTTTTAAAACTTCATAACATACCAGGATTCTCACATGAGACACTGCTTTCTATTGTGACTGTGACTCACCTTAGTTTTCTCTCCTGGTTTTTGTACTGATCTTCAATGTCATGATGTTTCCATGTTTTTCCTGAAATGCAGACCCAGAAAGTTGATTCCAAAGTATTAGAAATTATAGATTCTAAGTCCATGACGAGCTATGATCATTTCTAGTTTATTTACCAATATCGTCCCTTTCCGCATTCTACATCTGGGAACAATGTTGATGGGCAAGAAACACTTGTTCTCTAACTGATGAAGTGAAAGAATGTCCTCATTCTTACCTATTGAGGCCAGGTTCCTGAAAGTTTCCCACATCACATCTCTGTAGAGTTTCTTCTGTGAAGGATCCAGTAAAGCCCACTCCTCTGGGGTGAAGTTCACAGCCACATCCTCAATGGCCACTGAGTCCTAAAACATCACATGTATGTGTATAGTAGGATGCATAAGACTGACAGAACTGGGAATCTATATCTATTTACAGGAAGGTTACATAAGATTCTATCATCTCCAAACATTTATTCTGTGATGTGGTCTTCAAAAACTCACTGTTTTTCTGTACACACTTCCTCATCAATTTAACAGCATCATGAACAAATGAAAATTATTTACACATTTTTACTGTGATCACATTTCATCATATTTCTCTGTAATGGCAGAGTCAAGAGCATGTTGGGAAATGACATAAATGCCATACAATGGAACAAATATTATCATTATCAGACAAAAAGAACAAAAAAGACAGAACACAATATCCATGAGGTCAATTCTCTTTACCAGAAGACTTAAACTACACATAATGGGGACATTTGAAGAAAAAAAAGACAGAAAGTAGTGAGGAAACAAGTGAAGTAATAATCATCAAAATATCCTAAAGTTAATGACAGCTGGCAAACTGCACATCCAGGAAGCTCAGAGAACACTAAACATGATAAACTACAAAAGTGCACCCCCAAGAATATCATATTCAAACTAGAGAAAAATCAAAGAGAATATAATGAAAATGCCAGAGAAGAAACACACCTTAGGTACAAAAAAACAAAAATTCTAATTAAACTGGACTTCTTTTCAAAAACCATGCTACAAGAACAGAGTAGAGTGAAATATTTAAAGTGTTGAAAATAAAAAAACCACTCTCCTAGAATTCCCTGTCAAGGAAAATTATCTTTTAAAAGTAAAGGAAAAATAGGTACTTTCTGAGACAAAAATTGAGGAAATTTGTCACAAGTACACCTACTTTGAATGAAATGTTCAAAAATTTCTTGGAAAGAATGTAAATGATAAAAGTAAAAGATTAGAAAAGGACAAAATGAATGTAAAATATCTTTTTTTTTCCTGAGGAAGATTTGCCCTGAGCTGACACCTGTTGCCAATCTTCCTCTTTTTGTATGTGAACCGCTGTGACAGCATGGCCGCTGACAGACAAGTGGTGTATGTCCGCACCCGGTTACTGAACCCAGGCTGCCAAAGCAGAGCATGCCAAACTTAACCACTAGGCCACCGGGGCTGGCCCAAAATATCTTTTCTATATTTATAATTAATGTAACAGATGACACTTTGTTTAAAATAAAAATAGCAACAATGTATATGGTAATGAGAAGCTTATGGACCAGTGAAATAAATGACAGCAATGGGACAAGGCAGAGTGAGCAGAAATTGGGAATAGTGTGTTATGAAGTACTTGCACACAGTGAAGTGGTATAGTGTTATTTGGCAGAAAATATCAGTCAGTTATAAATGTGTATTGAAAACTCAAGGGCAAGCACTAAAAGAGTTTTTTAAAAAATGTGTAATTGATATGCTAAGAGAGGAGGAAGAAAAGAATCAGATAAAATGCTGAATTTCAGTGAGAGGAGGTGGAAAAAAGGTGGAAGACAAAAAGAGCAAGAGCAAGATATAAAAAACAGTAAAAGAGGTGGCAAGTATTAATCCAGCTGTATCAATAACAACTTTAATCATCAATAGTCTCAATACAATTGAGAGAGACAGTAATATCAGATTTATAAAAAACAAACTGAGTTATATACTGTCTACAAGAAACCCACTGTCAATATAAAGACACAGATAGATGAAGGATAAAAGGATGGAGAAAAATATGCCACGCCAACACAGGTCAAAAGAAAGCTGGCACAGGTATATGAATTATAGAAAATGCAGATTTGAAACCAAGGAAGATTCAGAGATAAAAAGGGGCATTACACAGTGACAAAGGGGTCTATTCTCCAAGAAGGCACAGCCACCCTTCATGTGTATGCGCCTAACAACAGAGGGGCAAAATACATAAGGCAAGAGCTGATAGAAGGCAAGGAGAAACAGATGAATCAAGTTCAGTAGTTGAAGAATTCAACACCCTCTTATTAGGAATTATAAATTCCAGTAGGCAGAAACCCAGGAAAGACAGAGGTGAATGGAACAGCATGATGAAACAACTGGATTTTATTTTAATCTACAGAATACTTCATGCAACAACAGAATATACATTCTTCTGAAGTTCACGTGGAACATTCACCAGGACAAACCACATTCTGGGACTAAAGCACACCTTAACAAATTTGAAAGAACAGAAATTGTACAAAATATGCTCTCACCACATAGGGATTCATCTAGAGGTCAATAACAACAAGATAGTTGGAAAACCCCCAAGTATGTGGGGATTTAACAATATATTTCTAAATAATACATAGGATCAAAGAAGAAGTCTCAAGAGAAATGAAAAATTATTTTGAACTAAATGAAATGAAAACACAACATACCATAGGCTCTCGGATGCAGCAAAAGCAGTGCCTAGAGGGAAAATTATGCCATCGAACAATTACACCGGAAAAACCAAAGATCTATAATAAAAAATGTAAGCATCTACCTTAGGACACAATAAAAGGAAGAGTAAATCAAACCCAAAGTAAGCACAATAAAAGAAAGAATAAAAATTGGAAAAGAAAGCAATGTCATTCTGGGAAATCAATAGAGAAAATTAAAATAAAAAAGCTGGTTCTTAGATAAGACTAATAAAATTGATAAACATCTAGTTAACCAAGAAAAGAGGGAAGACAGATATTACTAATATAAAAAAGAAAAGGAAGGGGAAATGAAAATAAAAAAGGATTTGATGGGGGCCAGCCTGGTGGCGTAGCGGTTAAGTGTGTGCACTCCACTGCTGGCGGCCCAGGTTCGGATCCCGGGCATGCACTGACGCACTGCTTGTCAGGCCATGTTGTGCTACGTCCCATATAAAGTGGAGGAAGATGGGCACGGATGTTAGCTCAGGGCCAGTCTTCCTCAGCAAATAGAGGAGGATTGGCATGGATGTTAGCTCAGGGCTGATCTTCCTCACAAAAAAAAGAAAAAATGGGCAAATGATCTGAAAAGACAGCTTGCTGAATAAGATATATAAATAGGAAATAAGCAATCTGCTGGGAGGCTGTTTCCAAGACCAAAGGCATAATAGGTGCCTTAGTAGAGGGTCACATGCTCAGTGCTTCTGAGAGCTTCTATTTTCAAGAGATCTCAGTACCTGGTGATAACTGCAGCTCTAATGGCATATAGTGTGGGGACTAGGGCAGTTTTTTGCAACAGAAGCCTAGAGACAACTTAAGGCCCTCCTCCAGAGAGCCTCAAATCACTGCCATCAGGGTTAGTGGCCTCCTCCATGACAACTGATTGCTTTGTAGAGTTTAAGGAACCCAGGCTTAGTTGGGTTTGAACTAATACCTTTACTATGCCAAATGCAGACTGAGGGTGTTGTACAGTATAGCCCAGAGGGTCAGGATCTTTGTTGCAAAAGACGCAGGGGCACCAGCAGAGTTACTTAGGGATCCTAGTGAGCCGTCTGTAATCTCACCACCTACTGGTTGCATTTTCCTGTCTCTTCTCTTTCTTGTTGAAATAATTGCTCTATAAGGAGTGTTACCATCTGATGGGCTCACCTCATTCACAGGATAGAATCATCCTTCTATCTCCCAAGATTCCCCGCTAAAGTTGGGGTGACCCCTGCCTCAGTCACTCCTTCACTCTAAACAAACAGATAGATTCCACCAAGACATTGATGGAGGACCACATTAAGAAGGGCCCCATTCCCAGACTCCTGCTCCCAAGGGAACTAAAACTGCCAATTCCGAGTCCTCCATACATAATAGACCCAGGCGTGGTGGGTGAACAGTGCACACAGGGCAGCACAGCTCACAGGAGGAGCTGCCCAGCAAGCAGCAGCTCACAGTGCAGGAGCCTCCAGGCTTTCTCATCAGCCCGTCCAGACAAGAAGGCCTAGGGGAAAGGGAGGGGTGAGGCTTAAGTGTTCAGAAGCCAAACACCAAATATGTGGACCCTGGGCACTCACTACAAGAACAAACAGGGGTAAGAGAAATAGGCATTCACACTGGCTTGTTTTTATATAAAGAAACACTAACAGGATGATGAAGCAGTGATCAAAACTGGTCATTTGAGGGGGGCTGGAGTGAGAGCAGAGGAGTGGGGCAGGACATGCAGGCAGGGATTCTCCTTAAGGTTCTTTCCTCTCTTAGGAACTTTTCTAACCTTCCCATATATTATTTATTTAAAACAAAGAGAGAAATTTATACATACCATATTTTGCTATGCTTGATCATTATTTTTAATTGACTTTTGCATTTTACAATTAATTTAACTTTAACATTTCTACATAGGAAACCACTCTAAGATTTAATCCTTTAAACACTAATAAACATAAAAAAGTAAACCATAAACCATTTACCAATCCCTTTCTAAAAAAAAGAAAAAGGGCATTATAATTTGTCCCTTCACTATATTTCACACTGGGGATCTTTGCAGGGAGGAGCAGCATATTATAAGACATTAGGAGTTGGCAATTAAGCCCTGTAATAAACTAGGAACTCCAAAGATGTACATAAGCTTTACATGTTTCCTCATATCAATGAAAATAGAAATTCAAGTGCTTTTTCCTCACATCCACTAAAACAGGAAATCATTTGCCTTAGGACGAGTACAGCCTTTTAAATGTCAATGTTCCCTCAGGACATGGACACACAAAAACCGATCTAAAAATGGAAAATGCATCTGAGAACTTAAGTACACCCATCTCACATCATGAGGCTCTCTTGCCTAAATGGAACAAAAATTCTATTTGGTTCCACAATTTCTTGCCTTACTCACATCGTATCTCTCAATCAACTTACATTTGAAAACCCCAAGTGCTAATGGAAACAGGAATCAAAGGGCTGCCATCTTCAACTGATAAAGGAAACCAAGGACAGAAACACGAATATTTGAATTAGCCCATAGAAGCAGCCTGCTTGCCCAGAGTTCAGAAGGAAAACCCATGTTCAGAAAGTTGACCATATTCCCAAACTTAGGCTGTAAATACTCCTGGTTGAGACGTAACCCCTAGAGGGCTTTGTGCCTGGGAAGGAGGGAGGGGACACCTGAGCAGCCACAGGAGTGAACTCTGGGGGCTCCACACACCCTCCCCTCTCCTGTGAGCATGGAAGCACTGCCTCCCCCAGGCTTCCCTTCTCACAGTGAGGACACGCTCAGCCTGATTCAGTTTAATCTTCTGACCCAAATGAACACCCAAATTCATAAACTCTGTTCACAGGATAGAAAACATGATCTTTACAGATGTCTCAATGTGCACAAACTACACTCTCAGTGCACCTACAGTGTGGGTGCAAAACTCAAACATAACATTTAAAATGTCCAGGCCTAAGGAAGCATGACCACAACCTCAGAAAGGGCATCACTCCCCACCCCTATGTGCACGTGCACCCCCAGCTTTCCAGGGCTCTGCAGCTCCTCTCAGTATAGAGGCTCCTTCCATGGGGGGTGTGAGCAGGCAGGATACCTGCAGGGGGAGGCTCCCCAGGAAGAACAACTGGGCCTTCAAGTCCTTCCCTTTGCAGCCCCAAGGGGGCCTTAGCTTGGGTCTTTGAGTGCAGGCCTCTGCTCCCCACTGGAGATGCTTTGGATCATCATTGTTATTTTAAATGACACAAACCCAGTGTTTGAATAATCCAGCAAAATCACTTCAACTCAGTCTTTATGTGGAACATAGGGAAGAAAATTATGAGGCACTTTTAGTTTCTAGTTCAACTAGAAAACCCCAAATACCTATTCCTTTCAGAAAAAAAGATGCCCGTTAATGATTATTTCCATGGCAAGAAATCACACTTGAACCGTTGTGGTCTGCATGTCTAAGCCCTGGAATTTCATTTGAAAACTTCCAAAAGTAAAGAACAGACCTCAGAAACTTGCTACACACATTCAGGGGAAGAAAGAGTGAAATGAGTATTCTTAACAACTGGGATGTAACACAGGAATATTTTCTGAAATTCAGCTATTTGTTGCCTGTTTTGAACAATTTTATATCGTCTTCCAAGGTTTACTGATTAAATATATTTACTCTTATTGAAAAAAGGAGACTTACATAAGTGAATAAATCTTTTCTAGTTCACAAATATAGGGAGGGGCAGTGCCAACAAGACAGATCAGGCAATTTGCCTGCTCAACAAGAAAACCCACAGCAATGTATTGCATTGTGGGGAAAAAAAGATGTCATTATGGTATTATTTCCATGACTAGAAGTTTTTTTTATGAACTATTATTCCTACTTTAACACTTCAGGTCTGCAAGTCTTAGCCCTGGAAATCCATTTGAATTCACTCAAAATAAAAGAACAGACCTCAGAATATTAGTACACACAATGGGAGGGAAAAAAAGGAAAGAAGGATTTAGTACATGCAGTGTAAAACTGCAATGTTTTATTTCTTCAGAAATTCACATCTTTCTTGACTTTTTGGAAATATTTTATATTGTGTTTCAAGTCCTGTGGATTAAGTAAATTTTTATTCATTGAAAACTGAGAGTAAAACATACTGAATGAATCTTTTAAAGGTGACTAACTCAGGTAGGGGCAGTGCTTACAGGACAGATCACCCAAAAAGTTTCTCAAGAGGAACTTCCACCCAAAGGACTCCCCATAGGCTGTCTGTGCCCAGAAAAATCCTGGGGGGAGGGGCACAAGGATTTCACACAATGTAGTTCCAGGTGGTTATAGGCTGCTTTTCACTCATGTAAAATATCCACACACACAAAATAAATCTTTTCAAAACAGCCATTCACTCACTGTGAGAAAATGATAAACAATTAAAATATTGGATCTGTTTCAAATTCACCAAGGAGGACAAACAGTTGATAACAATGCCGTGAATCAGACACAGGAAGTTGCAATTTCGGAATCGGGGGGAAGAGATTGGAAATGTCGGCAATTTGCTGGCAGTAGTAGGAGAAAGGACGGACTGGGGACCCCACAGACCACAGCTCCTCCCACGCAGGAGCCCCGGAGACCGAGTCACGATTGTCCCTGATGACCCTCCCCGCGGTCACCGCACCATCTGGGGACACGCGGGGCTGCGGGCGCAGAGCTGCCCAGAGAGGCTCCGGGGCCGCAGTCGCCGCGCGCAGTGACCACAGGACGCCCGGGGTCCCGGCTGCCGGCCCCGCCCCCACGCTGCGGCCGGAGGGGACTGAGGTCCGAGCGGCGCCCCCGCGGACTCGGGTCCGCAGACTCGGAGGCGACCGCGGGGAGGCCGGTCCCGCCACGGCCGGTTCCGACCAGCCCCTCCTCCCCGTCTCCTCACCCAGGGCCGCACACTCACCATTTCTAGTCTCCCGGGTCCCCCTGAGTCCTTCCTATGACTCCCACGGCCAGTGCAGATCACAGCATGACAGAGGCTGTGACAGAGCCACCAGCGACCGTTAACGGCAGGGGACAACCGACCCCGAGCACCGCAGGAGCGAGACGAGAAGTCCCCATTGGGCCAGACACTCCTCCCCCAAATCCTGACTCCGGGCCCTAAATCTCACCATTTCTAGGTTTCCTGGGTCCCCCGCGTCCTTCCTATCACTTCCGAGGTCGGTACAGCTCACAACCCGACAGAATAGGCGGCAGAGCCACGTAGAGCCTTTAACGGGGGGAGACGCGACCCCCAACGTGGCTGGAGCCCGCAGCAACTTCCGGGTTGGTCTGAGAGCTTCGCCCCACCCACCTGCCCCGGCACCGCCTCTGATTGGACAGTTCAAAAGACTCGCCCCTTTGTCTGAGTGACAGCCCCCTGAGTTTAGGTGTCTGAGCGGAACGCCAGCCATAACTCGTCCTCTGCAGGGATATTTGCGTTAAATGGTAGTGTTGGGAGGCGACTCCTGGAACTTGATCCTTTTTTACAAACACACACAATTGAAAGTCACCTCACCATAGGCAATAATTAGTCTCTCCATTTTGATCTTTGTTGACAACAGGAGTCTGACATAGTTTTGCCAAATAGGTACACAGGCACAGACCAGGGAACTAGGCAAAGAAAGGAGTACGGAGAATCTAATAAAAACTAACATCATCTGTTGAGTGTTTTGCAGACAGAAAGTTTCAGGAAGAGCCTAACCACAGAAGGTTCCCACAGGTAAGTTAGCTGAAGCCAGTTCTAGCCGCCTCCAACTGCTCTTAAGTGAAGTGAAGTGAACGGTCCCCATTATAATCTCAATAACATTTTAAATTCTCCTCTGCGAGGGGCCAAGCAGCCATTTCTAGATCATGCGATGTATGTAGTAGCATGTGTACATCTACCCATGAGCCTTCAAGGAACATGACTGTTAGGCAATGAACCCTGATCTCCTGCCTTTTCCTCAACTGAATATTCATGAACTGTACTATGATCTAATAATAAAGGGACACCCAAACCCTTGTTTGGGGAGACACTGCTTTGGGAGACAGCTCCAGTGTTCTCCATCGCTTGTGCAAGTAATAAACCTTTCTTCACCTACTTCTGCCTTGGTTGTGCTTTTCAGCTCCACAATCACCAAGAGGTGAACCCATGGAGTTCAGTTACAACACCAGGGATGCATTAGGTGAGCATACTTCCAACACTTCAGTCAGATTCACAATAAGAGCTTGGGAGCAAAAACAAGCCGTCATTTCAGACAAAAAGTGACTTCTGGGTATTCAGAATGGTTGACTTTAGAAAATGTTTCTAAGATTAAAATATTTGTATTCCATGGAAAATATAAGCAGGGACTCTTTCTCATTGGTGGTTAAATCATTCTCTGTGGTGATGCTCTGCCCCTTAGTTGTGGTTACACTATTTAATCCATCTATAATGAGACTTATCAGAAAATTGGGTTTCATCTAAATAATCATCTCACTGATTGGTGAGTCTATGATACTAGAGCGTAACGTTCATTCTGACAGTGTTGGAATCACTCTGTGACGGGCATCCTCTCCATATGGTATGCACAGATACCATTTCTGACCATTTCCTCTCCCAATTCCCTGAGGAAATTCTCACCTTTGATATCATATGAGGCAAAAAGCCTCACCCAAGCCCACCAGAACTTCAGCATTAACTCCACCACGTCCAGGGACAGAAGCATCCCTGGACGCCATCTGACAGATGGAAACTGAGGGAGAGAGCAAAGGACCATAACTGATCCCGGTGAAAACAGAAAAGAAGAGTCCAGTTTGCAACCAGTGCTCATCATACAGGGGGGACACTGCTGGGCGGTAGCATCATCAATCAGTCACCCATCCAACGTAGGAAGAAAAGGTCTGTGGATATTCAACATCAAGTACTGAGAGATGGAGAAGATATTTCCATTTCATTTTCTGTTTTTTATCTTCCCTTTAAGAACTATCTGGAAAATAAAAGTCTAGAAGCAGGTTTCCTGGAAATCACTCTGATTTCCTAAAGTCAGGAATGCCTCTGTTTTTTTTTTTTATCTCCTAACTCCTCCACCTCAGATAAAGGACACACCATACTAAGAATGTGCTCTCACCTGGGAAGATGCACATGTCTGGCTCCCCTCTCACACACTGTCAGAAACACGGTGCTGAGGAAACTACATTTCCTCACTGCCCTTCCCCACCCTACTTTCATTTGCACCTGTGGGAATTGTACAGTTCCAGGAGTGGCCCCATCTGGGCAGAAACTGGGGATGTGCTTCCTGCACTGATGAACTGATAAATTGTTCTGCTTCTCACAGGTAACATTAGGGACAGTCTGGCTCTGTCTTGAGGTCACATCATGGTGCTCTCAAAGGTCCTTTAATCACTGTGGTCAGTGCAATAGACATGATACCTTAAGGTTGTGTTTGGTAAGAGTATGTGATTCCTGTTTATCCCTATCATGGCAAACATGAGGGCCAGAATATACTTAGAGTGTTGGCGCATCCACCTGCACTGAGGGAAGCCCACGAGAATTCAAAACTCATCCTACAAGATGGTCCTCAGCCAAGCAAGAGCTCCACTTAAGAAGCAGGGGGGTGTTTTGTACGTATGGAGAGAGATATTTTTCCAATGACTTTGAAAAATGCTCCTCTTGGAATGAGTTACCCAAGGTTCAAAAGGCTGCTCTGCTGGAGGAGTCACTGAGAGGATGTGACCACTGGCTGACCCTCTACCTGGACTCCAGCAATTGGGGGCTCCTTACCCACTCCCTGTCCTTGGAATATACATTCCACCCACTGTTCCTCAACTACGAGCCGTATCAAGCATGCAGCCTGGAGAGAATAATCTGCTGTTGAGACCATCTGGACAGTAGACATTACTGAATTCCATTAAAGCCTCTATATAAACACTTAAGATTTGGCAGGCAGGTGCGGAGATCTTCACATATTGCACCTGAGGTAAGCCTCACATATAAGTTCCCTTGCTTATTAAAACTACCACCTATCAACCTGGAGTGATCTGCATCTTTCTTCAGTCTCTCCTTGCCCTCCATGTACAGGAGCCAGTTTCAGATGTCACCTGTAGAACTCTCAAGGGTGTGAACCATATTGCTCCTAGCTCTGAATGAAAATAAGAGAGCAACCCATTCTTAGTGTGCTAGGAAGCATGAAGTACCTTTAAATGGCACAATGGGGGCCGGCCCCGTGGCTTAGCGGTTAAGTGCGTGCGCTCTGCTACTAGCGGCCCGGGTTCGGATCCCGGGCGC